GCAAAAATTTTTTATCGATTGTGCAACAAATTCATATAACATTTATGGATCCACCAGCCAATAAAATTGTACAGATCTTAGATTTACAAAAATGCATCAAGAACGCCACCTCAATTTAGGGTGCTATTTAAAAAGTAATCGCAGATCTATCAAAATTGAAACTTTTGCTCCGGATAGAGGTGTCAACTCTATTTGGGGCAGCCAATAATAAAGAGGCCAACTACACGTAATATTGTCTATCTTCGCATGCTCGTCCATTTCTCAATGATCTAACGCTCGACCATTGGTCGAAATTATTCCAAATTATTTGCCAGTGAAGATACTTTGGAAGCATCATATTTCTGTATTTAACCAGAGATATTCGAGCGGTATTAAGTTTTAAAACATTTATATAGCTCAAATTATGTACATGTATATCAATTTATTGAAACTATTATGCCGAAATCACTAATTTAGTCGTATCGGCCGAAAAATCATTTGCTAATTTTTATCAGGTGTTCCAGAAATTATGATAATAGCAGTAAATAGAACAGGGCGGCAAAGCTGCTCACATGGTCATGTTCTAGTTAATTACTATCAGCTGATTTCAGCATGAGGTGTCACAATATTTATTTTTGCAGCCTTTAACCAAAATATCCTAAACCTAAACTTTCCAATTTAATGTACTTTCTTTTTGTTAAATTTCCTTTTTTGGTTAATAATATTACTGCAGTAATTTAGATTAGCATACGTACGTACGTACGTACTTATTTGCGTCTATATAGAAGACAAATAAAAGTCTATATCAAGATCACCGGATTAATTAATAATACTCCGACCGTATGTGAAAACGAAGTTTCCGTTGATTCCTAACGATCAGGATATTATTATTACAAACAAAATGCGACTAAAGCGTTGAGAATAAAATTTGTATAGAAAACTACTTCCGTTTAGTTATTGCTACTTACACTAACATTGAATTTCTAACCATGATCCGACTATAATGCGATACAAATGTATCACGATATATATTTTGTTTGTGTTACAGATGCAAATATGTGAACCTATTATAAATGCTATAATGATAAATTATAATAACCTTTTAAGATAATATTGATTATAAAACGTTTAAAGCAGCCATTACTTTACTAAATCTCTGCTACAATGAAGGATTCTTGTGATGAAAATAGAGTTAATGAAGATGATCGTAAGGTATTCATGTCTAATCAAAAAAGTTTCGAGATGGGTCATGCTACTGGTGCATGTAACCTCGGTCATTGTTATTTTAATGGAATTGGGGTCGAAAAAAATGAGCATAACGCATTTATTTATTATCAAAAATCTGCCGAAATGGGTAATTCTGATGGAAATTACTATGTTGGATATTGCTATGAACATGGAATTGGAATTGAAAAAGATGAATCTAAAGCATTCGTCCACTATCAGAAATCTGCTGAAATGGGTGATTCTGAAGGTGCATTGAAAATTGGTCAATTTTATGAAAATGGTATTGGGATTGAAAAGGATGAACGTAAAGCATTCATTTATTACCGTAAATCTGCCGATCTGGGTGATGTGAAAGGAATAATTAGTCTTGGCTTATGTTATCATTATGGAATTGGAGTTGAAAAGGATGATCGTAAAGCATTTATTTATTATCAAAGATCCGCTGACATGGAGAATTCTATTGGAATGATCAAAGTTGGATACTGTTATGAAAACGGGATTGGTGTTGAAAAAAATGAAAATAAAGCGTTTATTTATTATCAAAAATCTGCTGAAGCTAATAATGTCAATGGAATTTTTAATCTTGCTCGATGTTATCAATATGGAATTGGGGTTAAAAAGGATGAACATAAAGCATTTATTAATTACCAAACATCCGCTGAAATGAACCATACCGAAGGAACTTTTAATCTTGGTTCTTGCTATCACGTTGGAATTGGGGTTGAAAAAGATGAATGTAAAGCATTCTTTTATTATCAAAAATCTGCAGATATGGGACATGCTTATGGAACAAACAATACTGGATATTTTTATAAACATGGAATTGGTGTTGAAAAGGACGAACGTAATGCATTTATTTACTATAAAAAGTTTTTCGAAATGGGCTACATTGAAGGTGCATGTACTCTTGGAAATTGTTATCAATATGGTACTGGAGTTAAAAAAGATGAACGTAAAGCATTCATTTATTATCAAAAATCTGCTGAAGCTAATTATGTTAATGGAATCTGTCATCTTGCTTATTGTTATCATTATGGAATTGGAGTCGAAAAGGATAGATGTAAGGCCTTTATTTATTATCAGAAGTCTTCTGAGATGGGTAGTTTAGAAGGAATAAATAATCTTGGTTTTTGCTATGAAAATGGTTTTGGAATTGAAAAGGATGAACATAAGGCATTTATTCATTATAAAAAATCTGCTGAGTTAAGGTGTGCCAGTGGAGTATATAATCTTGGACGTTGTTACCAAAATGGAATTGGAGTTGAAAAAGATGAACATAAAGCATTCATTTATTATCAAAAATCTACTGAAATGGGTGATTCAAATGGAATATTTCAAGTTGGACACTGCTATGCAAACGGAATTGGGGTTGAAAAGAATGAGCATAAAGCATTCATCTATTATCTAAAATCTTCAGAGATGGGGCATGCTGATGGAATGACTAGTCTTGGTTATTGTTATTATAATGGAATTGGTGTTGAAAAGGATGAAAATAAGGCATTCATGTATTATCAAAAGTCTGCTGACATGGGTAATTCAAAGGGAATGTTTTCTCTTGGATTTTTCTATTCTAACGGGATTGGAACTGAAAAGAATGAACACAAAGCATTCATTCACTATCAAAAATCTGCCGAAATGGGTCTCATTGCCGGAATGCTTCAAACTAGCAGTTGTTATCGAAGAGGAATTGGAGTCGAAAAAGATGAACATAAAGCACTCATTTATGATCAGAAATCTGCTGAGGCAGGGGATATCAGTGAACTTTTTCAACTCGGTTGTAATTATTTTACCGGAGAAGGAGTAGAAAAAGATATGCATAAAGCATTAACTTATTTTCAAAAAATTTCTGAGATAAAAGATCCTCATAAATATCCTAAAGAATTAAAAATTGATCTAAATCTAATATTTTTTGTATTGGCAGCTATTTATTTTAGTTTAGGTCAGTATGAAGAATCACTTGAAAATTATAATAAAGCATTAGAAATTAATGCAAATGATGAGCTTGCGTTGCGTTATCGTGGCTTTATTTATTCTAAATTAAATCGATATGATGAATCACTAAGAGATTTAAACAGAGTGTTAAAAATTAATCAGAATGAAATTTCTGCACTTCACGAACGCGGATTAGTTCATAGTGATTTAGGTTTATATGAGAAAAGTCTTGAGGATTTTAGTAAAATATTAGAAATCAATCCAAATGACCTACATGCACTTATTAACCGTGGAGTTTCTTATGCCAGATTTAATAAGTATAAAGAATCAATTATAGAGTTTAGTAGAGCATTGGAAATTGATGCGAATAATGCATTCGTGCTTAGTAACCGTGGTGTGTCTTATTTATACTTAAGTAGATATCAAGAGTCACTCATGGATCTTAATAGAGCATTAGAAATTAATCCAAACGACAGTTTTGCATTAAAAAACCGAGGAGTTATTTATAGGTTATTGAATAGATACGATGAATCACTCACAGAACTCAATAGATCATTGGAAATTGATCCGTATGACGTATTTGCGCTTAGTAATCGTGGAGTTGTTTATATTTCGTTATATCGAGATGAAGAATCACTTGCAGATCTTAATAAAGCCTTAGAGATTAATTCAAATGATGCATTTGCGCTTAGCAATCGTGGAGTTGTTTATAATTACTTAGGAGAATATACAAAATCACTTATTGATCTCAGTAAGGCATTAGAATTTAATCAAAATGACACATTCGCTCTTTATCACCGCGGAATTGCCTATAAGAATTCAAGACAATATGAAAATTCACTTGCAGATCTAAACAGGCTGCTAGAAATAGACCAAAATAATGAGGCTGCGTTGAAATTGCAAAAACAAGTTAGCGTTATTCATCATTTTGAAACTAAATTTGATAATTGGACAACTGATAATCCATTTATTGACCAACTCATTCGCGATAGTCAAATTAGTAACGCAGATTTAGATACAATTATTGAATGGGTGCCTTTTGAAAATTTTAAAGATGTTAAGTTTGTAACTCAAGGTGGATTTGGATCAATATTTAGCGCTATTTGGGTTGATGGTTGGATCGTTGGATGGAACGATAAAGCTAAACAAATGATAAGGTCAGGATCAAGTGAAATTATATTAAAATTATTAAAAAAATCCAACAATCCGAATGAGCAATATTTTAATGAGGTTAATTGTTGTTTCATTTTATTGCTCATTACTCATTTAATATATAAGTCCTAATCGAAATTCGGTAAACAATTTAACAGGCAATATCACATATTATATTCTCAAGTCTAGGATCATATTTCGTTAAATGTTACGGACTAACAAAGTATCCGAGTAGTTCAGAATATATGTTAATTTTGAAATATATGAAAAATGGAGATCTTAATTCCTTTTTATCTGACAAAAACAATAAATTTAGCTGGAAAGATATATATTTATTACTTCAGCAAATATTCAAAGAACTTCACTATATTCATAATTCTAACATGATACATAAAGATCTTCATCCTGGAAATATTCTATTTGATCAGGGTGAATGGCATATTAGTGATCTTGGATTCTGTGGACCTGCAGATAAAGATCCAAATAATCAAATTATTGGAATATTGCCTTACATTGCGCCAGAAGTATTGTATAATAAGAATTACACAACAGCATCAGATATATATAGTATTGGGATAATTATGTGGCAACTTTTAACTAGACGCAAACCATTTTATGATCGTGACCATGATATCCATCTTGCAATAGAAATTTGCAACGGCTTGCGTCCACCAAACATACCAGGAATTCATTCCGATTATGAATACATAATGAAAAGTTGTTGGAATGCAGATCTTTCACAACGGCCAGATGCAAAAGGGCTACTTAGTTATTTTGATAGTATTATTGAAAAACTTAATAATAAAGAAATTGTAATTCCTGAAATAGAATTTGACTTGTCTTCTTTAAATGATGATTATGCATCTAATAGTCAGAAAAGCAAAACGATTGATTTTGAAGGCATTCCTAAACCTAAGAATGGCATAAATATAGGTATAAATAATAGTCTTTTAATTATTATTTAACCCATAATTGAATAAATATATTTACTATATAGATGATAATGAATATAATGAAAACGTCGAAAAATATACGCGCCACAAAATCTCAACCAAAATTACTTCAAGCAAAGGTCAGTATAGAGCAATTGGACTCATCAACTTGTGTCTTGAATAATAACGTTTCGAGTCATAAATTTTAGCTCTCAAATTAGTTATTTAGAGGTTCCTCAGTGCCCTTGCAATTATTAATATAATCACTTTGAAAATCGTAAATCGAATAACTCTAAACACGAATAATTGTTCTGAGCTAATTTGTGAATTACGAGTCCAATCACTACTGTATAGTAAATGCGTTTCAGTTTTATAATATTAATGAATTATTTACATGCAGATAAAGAAATAACAATGAATGACGACAGTTTGCTGATACCAATGCATGTAGAAATGAGCAACATTTCCCAAATTTTAAATAAAAATGGTAAAATTTCTTTTAATTTCTTTATTTATTCGTAAAACTAACGTTTAACTAATTAAATATTTATTAGAACCTTTCCTTAACATTTATAAAAACCAACCATTACATTTAAAAAACAATGGTAAATTTAAAAAAAATATGGTCATACCTTTATAAAATCACAATTATGGTTGTAAACTTATATTAAATTTCAAATTTACATATAACTTTGGATGAAATCTGCAAGTAATTTTTATTTGTTCACTTAGTCAAAAAAGCTTCAAATCAGATTATAGGTATAAGTTATAATATATGTTTACAACCCTATTCGTGAAAATAAATCTTAATTTAATCATAATAATATTAATAGTTGTAACTTTATAATCACCCTTATTGAAATAAATTCATATAATTAACCTGTACATAGGGGTATGACAGCAAATATTCATATTATTAAGCATAATTAACAAAATTTTATTTTCATTAGATGACCAGCTTCAGGATTTAGGAGATTTATTTGCTAAAAATGACACTAAGCTTTTAGATCTCAAAAATGGTATATAATATATTCTAGTTTTAATACTGTAATTACTGCTTTATTTTAACTTATATCGTGTTTAAATATATAATGCTGTAGAAATGAATGGTTTATCGCCATATATGATGATTGCACAAGCCCATATTAGTATTGGTCAATATGAAGAATCATCACTGGAGAATATTAATAGAATGTTGGAAATTGATCCAAAATATGAATATGGACTCCACCTTCGTGGGATTATTCATCAACACTTAAAGTCATATGATGAATCACTCGTAGATCTTAATAAAGCATTGGAAATTAATCCAAATAATAATGATGTATTAGGTACTCGTGGAAATACGTATGTGCATATACACAAATACGAAGAATCGCTTGAAGACCTTAATAAAGCATTGGAAATTGATCCTAATAATGCATTTAACTTATCTCAGCGTGGATTTGTTTATAGACGATTAGGTCATTTTGAAGAATCACTTGTAGATTTTAATAGAGCTTTGAGCCTCGAACCGGATGATGAATATACATTGGTTAATCGCGGAATTGCATATAGAAGACTATGCAAATATAAAGAATCAATCGCAGATTGTAACAGAGCGTTAGAAATTAATCAACGAAGTGCCGAAGCACTCAGCAACCGTGGAGCTGCTTATTTGGAATCTGGATTGCTCGAAAAATCTCTTATAGATTTTAATAGTGCATTAGAAATTGATCCAAATTGTATAAACGCTCTTGTTTTCCGAGGACATTATTATTGTCAATTAAATGATCATAATAAATCACTTGCAGATATAAATAGGGCTGTTGAAATTAACCCCAATGAAGAATATGCACTTAGTCAGCGTGGTGCTCTTTATGAAGGTTTAGGTAGATATGAAGAATCGCTCGTAGATCTTAATAAAGCATTGGACATTAATCCGTATAATGCAAACACACTTTCTACCCGTGGATCTGCTTATTTGAATTTAGGTAGATATGAAGAGTCACTCGCAGATCTTAATAAATCATTAAAATTTGGACCAAACGATGCGATCACACTTCGTAGACGCGGAATTATTTATAGTCTACTAGGCCAAAAAGAAAAATCACTCGCAGACTTTAGTAGAGTACTAGAGATTAATCCGAACGATGAATTAGTACTTTATAATCGTGGAGCTGTTTATGCGACTTTGGGTCGATATGAAGAATCAATAACAGATTATAGTATGGCTTTAGAAATTAATCAAAATGATGCATCTATTCTCGGTTGTCGTGGAGAATGTTATAAATCTTTGGGTCAATATAAAAATGCTCTTGAAGATTTTAATAGAGCTTTAAAAATTAATCCTGATAATAAGTCTTTATTGAGAAAGCGTATATTTGCATATCTAAATTTAGGCCGATATAAAGAATCACTTGTGGATCTTAATAAATTACTGGAAATTGATCCAAATGATGTTTATTTACTTGTTAATCGCGGAGTCGTTTATATGCATTTAGGTCTATATAAAGAATCGCTGGTGGATCATAATAAGTCGTTAGAAATTGAACCAAATGATGAATACGTACTTATAAATCGTGGATGCATTTATATAAAGCTTGGCCTCTATGAAAAGTCACTTACAGATTTTAATAGATTATTGAAAATTAATCCAGATAATGTAACTGCACTTAGTAATCGCGGACATAATTATCAGCTTTTACGTCAATATGAAAAATCTCTTAAAGATCTAAATAAAGCATTGGAGATTGATCCAAACTTTACAGAAGCACTTGTAAACCGTGGGATAACATATATATATTTAGATCGATATGAAGACTCGCTTATGGATTTTGATATGTCATTAATTATAGATCCAAATGATGCGTCAGCACTTCGTAGCCGCGGATACAATTATCAATTATTAGGTCAATATGAAAAGTCACTTGCAGATTTAAATAGAGCTTTAGAAATTATGCCGAATGATGTAATTGCCCTTTGTAATCGGGGCGTTACTTATCAGCGTATACATCGAATTAAAGAATCACTTGCAGATCTCAATAGAGCATTAGAAATTGAGCCAAATAATAAATTTGCGCTTAACATACTCCAAAATTTTTTTAATTATTAACTATACATTACGTAACACGTTATTTGCTCTGACAGGTCAAATTTATCATTTGTCACAAATTATTAATTTTAAACTTTGTTATTTACACAATTTGTTTGATGTATGAAATGTGATATTTCTATTTAGTGTAATAAATATTAGAATAGTTTTATTAGATTTCACTCTGAAAATTAGAGCGAGCCTTTAAATATACTGTTGAGCATAAATATTATGTCCCCGTGACTTCGCCCATCATTGATTCCATCATTGATGAGGAATACAAGGATCGGAACTAGTGATTACGTTATATCTCCATTATTTCCATGGCCCACTGGTACTAATTAATTATTTCCATGGCCCACTGGTACTAATTAATTATTTCCATGGCCCACTGGTACTAATTAATTAAAAGCATTAGACAATACTATTACTGTATTACAGTTCTGCAGTTAGATTTTACATATAAAATTGATCGACAAAATCGCGAAGATTTAATTCATGTAGAATTGATTTTTTCTCTATGACAAACTGTTGTATAACATAGTAAAAATAGTATAGTTTAAAGTTTGATAAATTAGGTATTTTTAAGTATTGCATTAGCAAGAACTTTTTTATTTTCTTTTGTTATTGTTCATGTGATATGATCATGTAAAATTTTTTGCCTTGATATTTTTGTCATAAAATGACATCATCATTTATG